ACTTTTATTATTTTCATTTTATAGTTGAAGAAACTGAGAATCAGAAGCTAAGTAACTTGCCAAAGTTCTCCCAGTTAAGTGATAAGACCTAGATTGGAACCTGGGTAGTCTGGCTACACATCTACCCTCTTTTTTTTAAAAAAGGAAACTAAAAAGATATTTTAATTAAATATAATGCATAATCTTCAACTGTATCCTGGAAAAGGAAAAACAATGTTCTAAAGGACTTTAATAGGACAGTGGCAAAATTTGATGATGGTACTGCTCAGTCCAAAATGTCAAACATTGCAGGTGATTATCTGGCCTCTGCTTGCTTCTTACAGCCACTTACACCATTTTGGCTGTAGTTACCCCAGCATGAGCTCACGTTCTGTAACTTATACCCATTACTTTTGTTCTTTGCTTTGAGCATTATAGTGAATCTGTTTCCGTTTCCATATTTTAATCATTCTGACAGCTGAAAGGAGCTTGCCTGCCTTCTTCCATTCTCTGTCTTTTCTTCAGCATAAACATCCTCCATCCTTTCAACCATTAGCCTGAGAAGCTGCTTATGTGTGCTGTTTGCCAATGCTCCTTCCAAAGAATGGCACCTGAGTCGTCTGGCTCAGGATCTTTCATGAGGTTGCAATCAACCTGTTGGCCGGGGCTGCAGTTGTATAAAGGCTTGACTGGGGCAGGGGGATCGGTTTCAAAGATGGCTCCATCCCATGGCTGTTGGCAGGAAGCCTCAATTCTTCAACACATACACCTACCTCTCCACAGCACTTCTGAGTGTCCTCATAACATGGCAACTGGCTTCCCAGGAAGGGAGAAATCTCTTTGTTAGGCTGATTAGGCTTGGGAAGGACCTGACACCCTTTTCAAATGGACCAATTTCCCAGGCTTCTGATGGGCCACCCCTTAACCAATCTATTTCCTAGATCTCTCCGGGTTATGTCTCTTATCCAATCTAATCCTTTTCCCAAGTTAGACTGACATACCTCCATGGTGGCCTTCTTGGTTCCTACTGCACATTGGCTTACCTCCCCCTTTATTGTTTTCTCTCTTCCCCCAGTGATCTGGGAGGAACAGACTCCTGGTTCCCTGGGGAGTGTGTGAAGCTGTAACTTCCTAAAGAAGCAAGCCGGCTTATGGTCCTTAGGTGATTATGCCTAATAATGCCTGATTTCCTTTGCTCCCCTCCTTTATAACAGCTATCTATGCTAACATATCCACTGGAGAGTGAATAAATAACACATGATATATTCATTCAAAGAAATGCTCTACAGCAGTGGAAATGAATAAATTTACAGCTACCTGTATGCCCACAGATGAAGCAAGATGCAGAAGAAAATACACAGGAAGATTCCACTGACATACAAATTTAAAACATAAAAAACCCTACATATATTGCTTAAGAATATATACATAAATAATAAAATTATAACAAAGTGCACGGAAATGAAAAACACCAAATTTAGGAAAATCAATTTTATTTGGGGAAAGTAAAGAAAATGTGATCACAAAGTAAATACTATTAGTAATGCTCTACTTCTTAAGCTGTTTATTCCTTGACACAGTTTCTGAGTGCATTAATCTGCATACCTTTTTATAAGTCTGAAATGTGTCATAGTATATTCAAAAGAAAAACCGAGTTTCCCCTTGAGTTTTCAGTTCTGGCCTCACAGCATTGGGGAGAAGCAGGGAACAGGCTGCTGCTATCCCCCTGGCCACAAATTCCCCAGGTCAAGAGTTCCGCATCCACCTGTTTCGGAACTTGCTTACAGGACTAGTGCGACAGAAAAGCATTGTGGGGTCATGGCGCATACGGACAAGATGAGGGACTATACTGAGCAGCTCATGGACTATGTGAGGCTGGGAGATACCAACCAACAAGACATGCGCGTGGGTGACTTCTGGCTCACAAAGGCTTGATCCCAAAGCAGTTTCAAGTACTGGCCCTTTGGTACCAAGGTCAGAATGGGGACTACACGAGAATGCTGCAGATCCCAAATCGGAAAAAGCACGATTGGGCTAAGATGGCAGTCATCAAGTATAAAGGGAACTGCCTCCCACCCATTTTCATAGGAATCATTTTCATGAACACCTGTAATAGGGTTTTATATCTTCCCCAGATGTTATCTTCAGTTCCACAACATCAATGAAAGTCATTAAACTATTTTGCCCTACCTAGTTTGGCTCAGTGGATAGATGTTGGCCTGCGAACTGAAGGGTCCCAGGTTTGATTCTGGTCTGGGGCACGTACCTAGGTTGCAGGCTCATCCCTGGCCCTGGTCAAGGTGCATGCAGGAATGCAGGAGACAATCAACATCGCTCTGTCGTCTCTCCCCCTCCCTTCCACTCTTTCTAAAAAAAAAAAAAAACAACAAAAAAAAACAATGGAAAAATATCCTCAGTAGAGGATTAACAAAAAAAAAAAAAAGTCATTAAACTTAAAATGATGAGAATCATTGATGGCTGCCTCCTAGACGACCCACACGGGGATGGAGCCCACAATCCAGGCATGTGCCCTGACCAGAATCAGTGACCTCCTAGTTCATAGGTCAAGGATCAACCACTGACCACTGAGCCACACCAGCCGGGCAGTCATTAAACTTTTTTTTTTAAATTGTGATATTTTGCCTTTTAAGTAAATTATTAAGACACTTTTATGTGTAACAATTGAAGCTTTGCAGTAATGACTATTTTCTTTCTTGTTTTTGTTAGATGTTTTACGAGTAAGCTCATAAATCTAAATTGTAATAAATCCATATTAATAAGTTTTATTAAATATTTCATGCCTAAAAATCCTTGACTTTATTTAACATTAACAGCACAGTAGATGGTGTTGACAATTTGTGGTGTGTTTTTTTTATTCCTCACCCCAGGATATGATGTTTTTTTATTAATTTTAGAGAGAGGCAAAGGGAGAGAAACACTGATGTGAGAGAGATTGATTTTACAGAGAGAAGGGAGGAAGGGTGGGAGGGAGGGAGCAAGGGAGAGTGAGAAAGCGAAACATTCATGTGAGAGAGATACGTGCCCCAACCGGGGATCAAAACCACAACCCACATGAAGAAACAGAATATACTAGCATCTTAAAACCCCAATCCAAGTACCCTCTTTCAGTTACTTCATTCCCACTCAGGAGTAACCAAGATCCTATTTTTGTACTTTACATAAATAGATCCATAAAGCATATATTCTTTTGTGTATGGACTTTTTTGCTCAATATTAGGTTTTTGAGATGATCCAAACATGTAGTTATAGCTCTTGCAATCTTATTGTTTTCTCTTGTGACATAATTTGACCATTTGGGTTGTTTCCAATTTTGGATATTACTAATGATGCTATGAACACTCACTGCATCTAAGTCAAAAAAATCTCAGTGGTAGCACCAGTATCCCACTGAACTATTCAGAAGGGGTGCTGAAGGATTTTTTTTCAAGCTCTTGCAAACTATAAATTAGCCCGGCTGGTGTGGATCAGTTGGTTGAGCATCATCCCATGCACCAGCAGGTCACTGGTTCGATTCCAGTGACCTGCTGGTGCATGGGGTCGCACTCTCAATCCCCAGTAGGGGGCATGCAGGAGGCAGCTGATCGATGTTTTGCTCTCACATGGATGTTTTGTTTTCTATTTCTCCCTCTCCCTTTCTCTCTCTGAAATCAATATAAACATGTTTTTTAAAAAACTATAAATATCTTAAAGTAAAAACTTGTAGATATCTTGGTGAAAATTAATAAAGTTGAAACCAGGATTACTACCAATACAAAATGTAAGTAGGGAATTATTTTTACTAATGCCATGTTAATCATTCTGATATCTTTCCCTAAATTAACCTTCAAATTGCAATCTCAGCATATCAAAAGAAATTCAAATGAGAGACCTAACCCTAAGCTTTATGTTTAATTATATTTGGCTGCAAAGGGAATATTTTTTTAAGCTATTTCTTTTCAGACCATTACACCCCATAAAGACACGCTAGGATTAAGAATTTATACCAGTTTGTTAAAAGTAAATGTATTCACAAAGTGCAACTTTCTTCAGAAAATATGATTTCAAGTGCAAAGATGTAAGAATGTCTAGTATTCACTGATGTCAAAATCATTATTTCGGGATTTATTTAAAAAGTGGCAACAGATTCTCAAACACACAAACTACTGCCAGAAAATTATACACATGAGGAAAAGAGCTCTTGTAAATCAGTTTCTAATGGGAAATTAAAATGTAGTACAAAGATATAATACAAGGGTTTAACTAAAGAAACCATCTATGAAAAAGGATAATAAAATACCATTATTTTGTTTATGTGACTAAAATATCAGAGCAGAGAGTTCTGAGGGCGATTTTTAGCTCTGTTAAGACCTACTTCAGACTGCCATGCCATGCAATCGGAAAGAATTATATTAACACAAGCCTAAATCCTGTAATAGGTCATTTTCAACACTATGAGACAATCTATGGCTCCGCATCCTGAGTGTTGTTCTCCTTTGTTGCAAAGAGAAAAACAATAAATGCAACTTGTTCAAATACCAAAAAAAGAGAGAACTGTATGGAAGATATTTTAACAAACATGTGACACATACAAAAAGAAACAAACAAAAAGGCAAAACAAACATGTCACAATTCCCTGAAGTCTAAAAATAACTAAATATGCCTTAATAAAAATATAAAAGATAAGTAATAATCATTTTAAAATATTCTATTGGTTTTGCTAAATATGAAAAATATTGTTTTTATTAGTTTGAAGAAGCATTATTTTATTCATTTTATTACATCAAATTTTAAAAGAAACTTACTAAATTTTAAACATTATTTAAACAAAAATATCTACCTCATTTTAAGTCAATGCAAATTTCACTCATTTAGAACTCTGTACTAGCATATTAACATTTGGGGAATTTTTGGAAAGATACATTATTACGTATAAAACTGTTTTATAAGACCTTAGGGATAAGAAATGGTTCATAAAACTTTACAAATATTCCTAAACAATGTTTAATACAATGAAAATTATATATAGACTTTGATTTTTAATAAAAATTTCAATTATTTTACAATCAATTTGAAACAGAAGTAAATATGCCTCATAATTGTTTTGAGGACTAACATTCATCAGGATTACTATAGCTGTTAATACTTAAAACATACACTAGAAGAGACTATTGGCTATTTCTGTTCTAGAAATACTAATGAACTAAATAATTAGGTTGGAAATCATGATTTAAAATCAATATGACTTAGAAAACACTATATAAAAATTCAAGGAGAGAACATTGTTATGGTCAACTTATCATTATTAGTGGTAGCAGTACTGTATTTTGTACACATTTACAAATCATGTTTTCAAACTGACAATGTGATTTAACTGCTTTGCTCATTAACATATGAAGATGTTGGCTGAGCTTGAAACATTAAAACTGTATTTATATATACCCCAAACAGGGCAATTTACAAGATTATATGAGTTATTCTTAAAACCTTTTTAGAACACAAATACCTCATTTTATCTCACATCATTATAAATAAACATGATAGCTTAAAAATATTAAACCTTTTTGTTTTTATGTACTTTGTCCTAAAGTACCTTGACTTATTGCTTAGTGAAATTCTATCCCCTAGTATGGATCCTCAAGCTTTTAGGAAAAGATTCCAGGGTCAAGAATATGGACATCAAATATAATAATTCACTGTAACAATGTATTGATCCTCAGGAATTCCTTCAGTATGACAAATATTTACTTTACAGTTACTGCTTCTGTAGCTATAGATCCTTCCTCACAACATATTATTTAGGTTCCAGAAGTTCCATCCCTCTGGTGCTTCCAATCTGTTTTCTTAAACTTGTTTAAAATATCAGCATATGAAATTTTCCACATTATTCTGGTTCAAAGGTAGAGACTCACTCTTCCTGCAGCCCAAAGTAAGTTTTTTTCTTTCTTTTTTCAAGGGGGAGAGGGTAAAAGGAAGAGAGATGGGCTTGATAGCTTGCTAATTTACAGGCTAGTTCAGAATTGCTGGGTATTTCCTGATGGAAAAGATCGCTGAAGGAAAACATACCAAGAGGTGGCCATGTTATCATATTGAGGGCAGCAGTTAACTCTTCCAGCTCAGAACAGAACAAATAATACGATAATTTGCTAATAGTTAGGCATTTGCTATTTTATGAACATAAATATTTTATCTACTTTACAAGGTAATATTAATTAAAGGTAGATATAAAGTCTATGAAGTTATTTGCAACAAAAATTTCACTAGCTAAAATTTCTTACTATTTCCCTTAGGAAATATTGTACATCTGTTAGAGTGCCTGATACTTGTTCAAATATCAAGTAATACAGGACAAGGTGTTATAACACAAAACAAACAGCTAGGAAGCACTTTATTTTTTTCTACTTCATGTAACATTGTTTAGGACCACAAGATTTTAAAGGTCTCTTTCAAGCAACTTTTATGACTTAGGAATACCACTTAAAAATATTTACTGATGCTATAAATATTACTGCTTTTCTACATATTAATAATTTTAATGAATGTCATATTCATTATACCTTTTGCTCCTTTGGTCAGAAAGATAAACAGAAATTTTTAATGTATAGATATTAAAAAATGGTTTTTTAAAACACCCAAACAAACCAAATCTATATCAACATATGTTAAAATTAGTTTTAGTTGTTATTATTAAGAATTTTAACAAGGACATACTGAAACATGTATAAGATTTTAAAATTAATTAAAAAACAAATTTAAATTTATAAATAAAAAGATTAATGGCCGAATTGAAAAAATTTTAAGCATCAGATTTAAAATATCTTCATTTTTCGCTATTCAGAAATATATTTTGTTAATAAGAATTATTTCATAAATATATATGTATAAATATAAATATAAATCTACAGGATCTACAGTGAAGAGAAATCCTTTAAAGAAAAAAATTGCACTTTTAGATTATCAGGATGTTGTCATATTTACCCTTTAAGTGAAGTGTAATTACCATTCCAGGTGCTTTGGGCACAAATTTTTAGGAGAATAGCAACACAATCTTAAAAACACAATGCTTTTATATTTTATTGACTGGAATATGAAGAATCAAACAGAATTTAGAATTCTGATAAAAACAATCCAGATAACTGCAATTGCTTAATTAAATCCAAAAACAAAATATTGTTTTAAAAAAGCCTTAAACCTGTCTTTATATCTGGAACATGTAAAATTTTATCAGCAACAGCTTTTCTTCAATCCCTTCAGCAAGAATTCCCAACCTTCACGCAAAGGTAACATTGTCTTTTTCTACTCACATGTGACTTAGATCATACTCCAGTATATAAGGACAAAAAATAAATGTATAATAAAAAGATTGGATAAATCAGGAGAGGCTTTTTGGTCTTGAATTCTTCACCCACTAACAATGAAGCAGCACTGTAGGCAGCCCAAAAAACACCAAACAGCTTTAAAAAACAAACAAAAAAGACAAAGGGCAGCATATTAGCAAGTCAATTAACATTTTGCATATTATAGAGTAAAAATAATATTTACAATATTGTTTAAAACAACCCTGACAACCAATGGTGGCAAATAGTAAAACTTACTGAGAATGTTTAAAACTTCCAAGAATGGCCCTGGCTATTTTGGCTCAGTGGATAGAACATTGGCCTGTGGACTGAAGGGTCCTGGGTTCAGTTCCGGACAAGGGCACATGACCAGTTTGTGGGCTTGATTCCCAGTAGGGGGCGTGCAGGAGTACACATCGGATTTTGTAGTAAATATCCCTCAGATCGATATCCAATTCTTCCAAGAGTGGCTTGTTATCTTCTGGATCATCATCTTCAACTTCCAAAAGCCATCCATATCCTCTTTGTCTCAGAAATGTAGTGGCTGTAGATTCTTTAATAAAATCTCCCCCAAGGTTTAATTTGACATCTGGGGCTGCTATTGAACCACTGAGGTCTTCCGCGTCTGCGGAGGAGACAAAGGTGAAGTCCCCGTTGGTGAGGGAATACTCTCTGAAATCAATAAAAAATATATTTAAAAAAATAATAAAAATATATCAAAAAAAACTTTAAAGAATGTTAGTACTTGCTCTTCTCCTTGACTTCTGCAAATGAAGTGTTTTGCTATCAAACATGTATAATCAAAAGAATCACCTAGGGTGCCTATTAAAAAGAAAATCCTGAGATTCACTCTAATTGTGATAAATCAGAATTTCTAAGAAACAGATCTAGTTATAAATCCTTTTAACAAGTGTCCTTGGTGATTTAAGGTAAGGCAACTTCTGGAAAAACTATTATTGGGCCAAATTGCTGAAAGAAATTTGATTGCTGAAAGAAAACTAACTGATTCTTCTTACACAGAAATTTTTTCCTTTACTTTCTTCTAAGAAGAAAACAGATTAAATAAAAATTTTATACAATGTTTATTAAGTATCCCGGCATTTTCCCAGGAATAGATAAAAATATAGGGTTAAATAAAAAGGAGAAAAAAACATAACATTTTGGTGAAGACTTTAATTAAATAAAATATACTGTGGTTTTCTAAGTATACACATATCTAATTTTAAATTATTTCCACTTGAAATTTATGTAGTACTTATTGATATAGTTACTGAAGCCATTTACAGATTAAAATGAAAGAAAGAACTTCCAGAGTAGAAATCAGGGAAAGTATGATAGAAACAGACTTGGCATAGAGCAGGTTTTCTGAACCTTGTACTACTACTGACATTTTTGGGCTGGATAATTGTTGGGGGAAGCTGCTCTATGCATTGCAGGATGTTTAGCAGTATCCCTGTCTCAACCTACTATATACCAGTAACATTCCACCACCAATTTGGGCCACTGAAAAATGTCTTGAGACATTGTGAAATGCCCTTAGGGAGAAAATCACCCTCAATTGAGAACCACTGGTACAAGGGCAAAAAATATTGGCATACTGATTGAAAATATATTTGAGATGGTCCAACCATCTATTGATTTTTAAACTAAAAAACACAACAGCACAGGGATGGGCTAGAGGAATTAATGGGGGGGAAAAGGAAACATATGTAATGCTTTCAACAATAATCCTATATAATAAAAGACTAATATGCAAATCGACCAAACGGTAGAACTACCGGTCGCTATGATGCTCACTGACCACCAAGGGGCAGACGCTCAATGCAGGAGCTGCCCCCTGGTGGTCAGTGTGCCAGAAGCCAGACTCACAGCTGGCAAACACAGTGGTGGTGGCGAGAGCCTCTCCTGCCTCCGGGGCAGTGCTAAGAATGTCCGACTGCCGGTTTGGGCCCGCTCTCCGTGGGTAGTGGGCCTAAGTCGTCAGTCGGATATCCCCCAAGGGCTCCCGAACTGCGAGAGGGCGCAGGCCAGCAGTTCAGTCCCCTCCCGGCAGGCCCCCTCCAACGAGTGCACAATTTTCGTGCACTGGGCCTCTAGTTAAAAAATAAAAAACATCCCTAGCTGGTTTGGCTCAGTATATAGAGCGTCGGTCTGTGTACTGAAAGGTCCCAGGTTCGATTCCAGTCAAGGGCACATGCCCAGGTTGTGGGCTCGATCCCCAGTAGGGGGCGTGCAGGAGGTAGCCAATCAGTGGTTCTCTATCATCACTGATGTTTCTATCTCCCACTCTCTCTCACTTCTCTGAAATCAATAAAAATATATTTAACAAATAAAAATAAAAAACAACAAACAAAAACCAGGTAAATATTTTAAGCCTACAGAAAAGTACAGAAAAATATATAAAATAAAATTATGATCAAATTGCATTTGTATGTCATGTCTCAATTTTTGTTGTTATAAATAAATGGTTAACAATTGGTAAGAATTATAGAAATCTAATTTTTAAAAGATTAGTGGTTGTAGATTAAACTGTATTTTAATGCTATCCTATCTAATAAAGAGGGTAATTGACCTTCACACCATCGCAAAGATGGCCGCATCCACAGACAATAAGGAGGATATATGTTAACTGACTGCCACGCCCTCAAAGATAGCAGCACCCACAGCCAATAAGGAGGGAATATGCTAATTGACTGCCACACCCTCAAACATGGCAGCGCCCACAACCACAAGATGGCTGTCAGGAGAGGGCAGTTGTGGGCGATCAGGCCAGCGGGGGAAGGCAGTTAGAGGTGACCAGGCCAGCAGGGGAGGGCAGTTGGGGGCAACCAGGCCTGCAGGGGAGGGCACCTGGGGGGGGACTAGGCCTGCAGGGAAAGGCAGTTAAGGGCAACCAGGCTGGCAGGGGAGGGCAGATAAGGGTGACTGGGCCGGCAGGGGAGCAGTTAGGCATCAATCAGGCTGGCAGGGGAGTGGTTAGTGGGTGATCAGGCAGGGAGGCAGGCAGGCGAGTGGTTGGGAGCCAGCAGTCTCAGATTGTGAGAGGGATGTCCGACTGCCGGTTTAGGCCCGATCCTAAACTGGCAGTCGGACATCCCCTGCGGGTTCCCAGATTGGAGATGGTACAGGATGGGAGGAGGGACACCCCCGCCCCCCAGTGCACAAATTTTGTGCACCGGACCTCTAGTAGTTACATAATGAGAGATCTGCAACATATTCCTCAAAATTTGGACTGAAACAAGGAACATATACAAAAATTCATTACACACAGAAGATTAAGTCATTAGGAAAACAAATTTGGCAAAGAAAAATGTGAAGTTTAAAAATAATTTTATCCTAAATTTCTAATGATATAAGATTTTCCATTTTGTAATAATACATTCATATGCTCCATAAAGATTATTAAGGACCAATTTTCAGTTGAATGTGATGACTAAAAATAAACAGAAGACACAGTTTTAGCAATTTTGGGTGTAGTCTCAGCAGTATTAAAACACGTTTTACCCCCCCCCCGCCCCCCAAAAAAATGAGCAGGAAGTTATTCTGAATGATTCAGTGAAGTGGTGTGTTCACTAAGGCTAGATAATTAAATGCCAGCATGGGTCTAGCTCCTACACTACAAAAGTTTTAAACTACGTGTTAATAATGGCAATTTAAACAAATGTTTAGGATTACAATGTAAAGGAAAAAAGATCTCCTTGATCTCTAAAATGTTCAAACATATAAAGATGTTCTCAAAATATTCTTTTACTAGAGGCCCAGTGCACAAAATTCGTACACTCGGGGGGAGGGGGTCCCTCAGCCCAGCCTGTGTCCTCTCGCAGTCCGGGAGCCCTTGGGGGATGTCCAACTGACAGCTTAGGCCCTCTCTCCATGGGGAGCAGGCCTAAGCCAGTAGTCGGACATTCTCAGCGCTGCTGTGGAGGTAGGAGAGGCTCCCGCCACTGCCAGTGGGCTCGCCAGCTGTGAGCCTGGCTCAGGGCTTCTGGCTGAGCAGCGCTCCCCCTGTGGGAGTGCACTGACCACCAGGGGGCAGCTCCTGTGTTGAGCATTTGCTCCCTGGTGGTCAGTGTGTGCCATAGCGGCCGGTCGTTCTAATCGATTTGCATATTAGACTTTTATTACTTATTACATAGGATAATATTTGTAATAACAGTTACCACTTGTTGCCTACTCTGTATCAAGCACTGTACTAGGCATTACATTTAAAATCTTCATAACAGTTGTTGACATTCCCATTTTGCAGAGGAGGGTAAGAAAAAGTAGCTCCTCTCCCCAAGGCAGACAGCAAGTAAGTGGCAGAACCAGGGTTTCAATTCAGAATTGACTGGTTCCAAAATCCACATTCTACTCAATTCCTAATGCTTATATAATGTCAGTATTAGCCTGTAGTTACCCAATTTTGAAAAAAATAATTTCTTCTATACTGGAATGAGTAATAAACTTTAAAACCAAATGTCATAAAAATTAAGTGGCACTACTTAAAAACAAATACTTTAGTGTGGAGGCTAAAGTAATGGCAGTTCTGAAAGTGGTGGTCTTAAAAAGTTACATTTTCCATAAAGAAGGTAGCTGATCAGTGATTCTCATCACTGATGTTTCTATCAGTCCCTCTCTCTTCCTCTCTGAAATCAATAAAAATATATTTTTAAAAAATTATCTGAGTATAATATCCTCAGGCCTGATTTGTTCTCTGTTCTTTATCCCCCCCCCCAAGACATATATTATAATTTCTGATAATTAAAAGAAAAATGAAATACTATTGGTAAAATCAGTGAGTAAGATCATTGTTCCAAAATATTATTAATTGTTTAATAAAGAGTTACCTGATTCCAGGGCTAAAGCAGGTAAAAGATTATGATATTCTTAGCCAGAGAACTATTATACTTTTGTTATTGGGAAATAGTAAACTACTTTTTATAATACATACTACTTACTTTTATAAGTGTAGACACCACTTCAAATGATCCAACCACCAAAAGTATAGGGGCTATTACAATGAGAGGAAGTAATGAATATCCTATAACTCCAAGAACTTGGCCATATGCAACCTGTGAATTTTTAAATTTTTAAATAAATGTCACAGAAATCTAGATATTCATTTAAACCAATATCGAACATTATATATTCTTTGTTATACTTTCAATAATGTGAGAATTAGGAAGAGATCATGACGTATTATACTCATATTATTTCAAATTTCATATACTGTGCTATGTTTTTTCCTATGCATACATACTACGATAAAGTTTAATTTGTAAACTAAGTAGAGTAAGAATACTAGTAACAACAACTTGCCCAGCCAGCATGGTTCAGTGGTTGAGCACTGACCTATGAACCAGGAGATCACAGTTTAATTCCCAGTCAGGGCATATGCCCGGGTTTCGAGCTTGATCCCCAGTGTGGGGTGTGCCGAAGGCAGCTGATCAATGATTCTCTCTCATCGTTGATGTTTCTATCTCTCTCTTCCTCTCCCTTCCTCTTCTCTGAAAATATAAATTTTTTTTTAAAGAGTAAAAACAAGTAATAAAACAGAACAATTATTAACAATTCTAAACTGTAATAAAAGTTATGTGAATGTGGTCTCTCTCTCTGATCTAATACCCCAGTACCCTACACTAAATGACTAATAAGTTGGTGTATACTGCATGGAGGATGAATCCACTCTCTGCATGGGATGGCATAAGATTTCATCATGCTACTCAGAATGGTATGTAATTTAAAACTTATGAGTTGTTTATTTCTGTAATTTTCCATTTAATATTTTTGGATGGTAGTTGCTAACAGGTAACTGAAACAGCAGAAAGCAAAACCGCAGGTATGAGGGAACTAGGGTACTTGCAAAAATATAAAACACCACCACTCTTTTAATGCTTTTGTTTTGCAAAATGTTTTTTTTTAAATGTATTATGTTAAAGTGAATCTAGTTTAATTTTTAATTTTAAATGAATAAATATATTTTAAAATTTTATATTTTAATTTATAACATGGTAAATATAATAAATATAACACACATTAAGAAATCTCTTTGGGGACCTGAGATCAAAAACTTTGAGAATGCTGTAACAGAGAATAAATTGTATGGTTCCCTAAAAAGCTGTCAATTACTTATGAGTGGGATGGGATCTTTTCTTTCCACTTCCTTTCTTATAACATTATTGAGTACATACAATACTAATATGTTGATCCTCTTAAAGGAAGGCGCATAAGTTAAAAGCAATTCTGGAACAAGAAATACTAGTACTTATGATGAATATAGCCACTGATGGCATCTGCAGCTCAAAAATAAAGCTTACCACAGAAAACAAAGGCTATTTTCAAAATTAACCACTTACCTCTCCACCAAGAACTCTGGCCAGTAAGAAAATAGTTAGTGAACCAAATATCCAAATAGTTATAATCCATGATACCACCTAAGGGGGAAAAAAATTCATGCAATTAATTCTTTGTACCAAATAAGCTGGGGACGTTCCTAGGAACTCAATTACCTACCATATAAGATACTTTGGTATACCCAATTTCAGGTCATAGAGAGTTTGGTTTCCCAGGTATCTTTATAAAACTTAATAAGAATAAAATGTGAATGTAATTTTAGATTCAAATTGAAAATTTATCCCCGCTGGCATGACTCAATCGTTAGAGCTGACCTACAAACCAGGAGGTCACAGTTGGATTCCTCAATCTAGACACACGACCCGGTTGTGCCTTTATCCCCAGTGAAAGGGCATGCAGGAGGCAGCTATTTGCTCTCATCATTGATGTTTCTATCTCTCTCTCCCTCTCCCTTCCTTTCTGAAATCCTATATAATGAAAGGGCAATATGCAAATTGACCCTAATGGCGGAACGACCTGGAACGACCAGTTGCTATGATGCGCACTGACCACCAGGGGGCAGATGCTCAACGCAGGAGCTGCCCCCTTGTGGTCAATGTGCTCCCACAGGGGGAGCTCCGCTCAGTCACAAGCCGGGCTGACGGCTGCGAGTGGAGCGGTGGTGGGAGCCTCTCCCGCCTTCTTGGCAGTGCTAAGGATGTCTAACTGTGGCTTAGACCCACTCCCCTGGGAGGTGGACATCCCCTGAGGGCTCCCAGGCTGCCAGTGGGATGTCTGACTGCCAGCTTAGGCCCGATCCCCTGGGAAGCAGGCCTAAGCCAGCAGGTAGACATCCCCCAAGGGGTCCTGGACTGCAAGAGGGCGCAGGCCTGGCTGAGGGACTCCCCTCCCTGAGTGCACAAATTTTTGTGCACCAGGCCTCTAGTATTTAATAAAGTATTAAAAAAAATTTAGCAATGATCAATTGCCTAAGGACACATCAGTACTTCAAGAACTATGATAAAAGATTACTGTAAAAAGAGAACAAAGAGTTTACTCCCAACCCCCTGATTTTCACCATCCTGCAAGGAAAATTCATCCCTGAAACAGGTTACCAATCTTCTTGGGAGGTCTTTAAAGTTTATATTAATCACACATTTATCCAAGTAATAGAATTAAAGACATTTCAGATCATTTTAACTCCTGAGACTTAGCATAATAATAATATGTGCATACATTTCCATCTTCTGTTTACTTGGAGTCTAGAAATAATGACACCCCAGCAGCTACATAAGCATTCTTATTGCCCAGGTTCTGGTTTCTAAATATCATTCCCTAATAAAAGGAACTAGGATTCCTTAGAGCAGTGGTTCTCAACCTTGGTTGCACATTAGAATCACCTGGGAATCTTTTTAAAATCCTGATTTCTGGGCCTCATCCTCCAGAAATTCTGATTCTTTGTTATGGGGTGAGGCCACAACATTAGTAACAAAGAAACAGAATTTCCGGAGGATGAGGCCCAGAAATCAGGAAGGATTTTAAAAAGATTCCCAGGAGATTCTAATGTGCAGCCAAGGTTGAGAACCACTGCCTTAGAGAAATACGTGATTCCAGGGCTGAAGCAGGTAAAAGATAAGCCCAGAACACTTTGTAGAGTCAGAGGAAAGAAAGTGTTCAAAAAAGAATGGGAATATTTTGAAAGGACACTGAAGCTAATCTGAAGGAGCTCCAAATGACTAAAGCTGAAACAATCTCAGGATGAGGGAGTGATCTGTGTATGTTGTGTTTTGATGATAAAGCCCCTGAAAGTAGGACAAAGTATTATATAAAAACAAATACTTGGGGTGGGGGGTGAGGGTGAGAATGGGAGATATCTGTAATACTATCAACAATAAAATATATATATATAAAAAAATAAAAAAACAACAAATAAAACCCCACAACAAATACTGATGGAATCCCTACCCTCATTTATTAAAATGTCTATTTTAAAAAACAGAACTAAAAATGAGAAAAAGATAAGAACATGATTATGAATTTTGTGTTTCCAACTCTTCATCCCTTGGGGAAATCAAGTAAGGGCACGGGCAGCCCTTTTGGTCACTTCTGGTCAGAAGGGATTAGTTCCAGCCATTTACCCCAGTCACTATACAAACATTAATGTTTTCTTTTCTTTTTGGTTAATCCTCACCAGAGGATATTTTTACACTGACATTTAGGGAGAGTAGAAAAGAGAGGGAAAGACAGAGAGAAACATTGATGTGAGAGAAACACATCAACTGGTTGCCTCTTGCAGGAGCCCAGACCAGGGCCCGGGCCAGGGAGAAGCCTGCAACCAAGGTATGTGCCCTTGACTGGAATCGAACCTGGGACCCTTTGGTCCGCAGGCCAATGCTCTACCCACTTAGCCAAACCGGCTAGGGCCCAATATTAATATTTCCTATGTGAATGATAATGTGGAAAAGTTTGAAAAGCATTAATGTAAGGTACTTCCCACATAATTAAGAATAGTTCTAGGAGCCTGGCCTGTGTGGCTCAGTTTCTGAGCATCAAACTATGAACCAGCATGTCATGGTTCGATTCCTGGTCAGGGCACATCCCTGGGTTGTGGGCTCGATGGGGGCATGCAGGAGGCAGCTGATCAATGATTTTCTCTCATCATTGATATTTGTCTCTCTCTCCCCCTCTCTCAAATCAATAAAAATATATATTTAAAAAAATAGTTATAGGGATGAACAATGAGAAATAATGCATAGCGGTAAAGCATTTCTCAAATGTAATGTCCTATGATAGTTAATATTTGGCTATCTTTAATTTTTAAACTCCTGAAAAATTTGGAATTTATATAAAGTAAGATATACTTACCCTAAACTGTCCATATAATGATATCATGGAAAAGAAAAGGACAACAGCCAGAGGACCCCAAAAGTCAGGATTGTCTCTCACCACTTGTCTATTAAAACCAAGTGATGGCATTGGCATCAAAACACATCGGATTTTGTAGTAAATATCCTTCAGATCGATATCCAATTCTTCCCTATAATTGTAAATTAAAAAAATTTAAAAGGCACACTTGTGAATATGGAGACATCTGTAGAACTTATATCTATATCTATATATATAAAATGCTAAGCGACCATCCGACCGGTAGCTATGATGCGCACTGACCACCAAGGAGCAGACGCTCAATGCAGGAGCTGCCAAGCTGTGGTGACTTGGCAGCGGTGGTTCTTGGGTGATGCACCTGGAACAAGAGAGGAGGGAGCCTAATTCTGGGGTGCGTCACCTGAGAACCGCCCTCTCACAATCCAGAACCCCTAGGGGGATGTCGGAGAGCTGGTTTCGGCCTGATCCCCGCAGGCCAGGCTGAGGGATCCCACCTGCCAGAGGGACCCCACTCACTCTACAGACAACCTTCGAGCCGCGGTGCTGCCCCAGGTGCAGCCGGCTGGGGAGGGACTGCCGAAGATTGGCTCCAGGGCGTGTCTGGCCAGTCTTGCCCAATTCCACCCCTGCTGGACACCTTCTAATTAATTCCTCTCAATGTGTACGAATCTGTGCACTGGGGCACTAGTTTAAATATAATGGCATAGTCTCTATAGGTCAACAAAGCATTTGCATTTGAAGTACCATATTTCACTGATTCCAAGGTATACATTTTCAGCATTTTAACATCTCTAAAGTTGGGATGAATCTCACATTCGCTGGTGTCTTACAATTATGCTAGCCTGAAGGGAAGCCAAGTGTTTCCAAGAACTGCCTTTCCTTTTGCCAGTCTTCTAAAGGCACTACCAATTTGGGACTTTAAATATAATTTTCTGCTTGAGACTTTTTTGGACCGTACAGATAACTCAGACTGCAATCCTAGATGAGAACTGGTACAGGGCTTACATTCTCAGGGGAAAGTTTTCTTTCAATACCCCATCCAGTGCCAAACTGAGACAAATAAACTCCCCTGCTGTCTCGTTTTGTATGGTGGGTTATTTCTCATTTATCTTTATACCAAGGAGATAGCCCTTTGATGTCCTCAGCTTTATGCTGTCTTAAGCAGTTTTTCTTTCTTATTGATAAATATAACTACACCCTATAATCCATTGTATCTTATATTTGATGAAATATGGTATATCAACATAGAAATAAGATGTTTTAGCACTTCATCTATCAATAATTACTACAGAGAATAACTTGGTAATGCCTCAATTTTATAAAGCTATAGGTTCTTTTCAAAATTGTTAAATTCTTCAGATTTTTTCCAAGTGATAACATAGTCATTAACAAAAAAAAAAAAAAGTAAGTCTCTCTATAGTCCTCAGTGGTAGCTTTAGAATTTCTATATGGGAGAAATTTGGGAATGATAATCTTTTTTTTTTTGGTTAATCCTCACCCAAGGATATTTTGCCATTGACTTTTTAGAGAGAGTGGAAGGGAGGACAAGAGACAGAGAGAGCAACATCCATGTGAGAGAGACACATTAATTCGTTGCCTCCCACATGTGCCCCGATTAGGACCAGGAATCGAGCCTGCAACCGAGGCATGTGCCTTTAACCGGAATCAAACCCAGACTCCTTCAATCTGGTGCCGACACTCTATCCACTGAGCCAAACCGGCTAGGGCAATCATCTTTTTGGAAATCTTAAATGGTCTTAAACTGAATTTCCACAACAAGCAACCAAGTGGTCTGCTTTTTTAGACTTCACATTAAAAAAAAAAGATTGTTATGTTTACTTAAGATAGCTATAGGCCCAGGTAAGACCTAACAGTTTAAAGTGTGTGTGTGTGTGTAAGAGAGGATTATGATTCGTTTTCTTTTTGCAATATTTATTTATTTATTTACATCCTCACCTGAAGTTATTGATTTCAGAGAGAAAGACATAAACCACAGAGAAAGAGAGAGACAGAGAGGAAGAGAGAAAGACATCGATGTTGAGAGAAACACTGATTGGCTGCCTCCTTTATGCACCGACCCGGGACCAAACCCGCGACCTAGGTATGTGCCCTGACCAGACTCAAACATGCAACCTTTAATTTCTGCAATTTAATAGGTTAAAAATATTAATTCCTCCGTTTTAATGATCACTAATAAACTGAAAATAGCCAAAATTTTTGACAAAAAAGGTTAAGATTTTCCATACTTATCTTTAAATAATAATGAAAGACTATAATCATTCCACAAACTAACTTTAAAAATAAAATAGTATGTATTTTTACATACAAGAGTGGCTTGTTATCTTCTGGATCATCATCTTCAACTTCCAAAAGCCATCCATATCCTCTTTGTCTCAGAAATGTAGTGGCTGTAGATTCTTTAATAAAATCTCCCCCAAGGTTTAATTTGACATCTGGGGCTGCTATTGAACCACTGAGGTCTTAGGAGAAAAGAGGACAAAATTATAAACCAAGGAATAATGTGTGAATTTATAATATAAGCATAAATTCAACTAACATAATTAGCATTTGAAGACCTACTATTACATACCATTCTCATATTTTAAAGGTATCTAAATATCATCTTTTATTTTACAACAAGAAAATGAAAGATGAAAAAAGTCGCATAGCTAATTAGCTGGACTGGTACCAGAATCTACACCAAGCATGTCAAACTCGTGTTTATTTGGCCTGTGTTAGCCTTTGAGTTTGACATGCTTGATCTACACTTAATAAGTTAAAAAAAATTTTTTCAATGCTTTTGTTTTATTTATTTATTTTTGGTTAATCCTCACCAAGGATATATTTTTCCCATTGATTTTTAGAGTGCAAGGGAGGAAGAGAGAGCGAGAGAGAAAAACATCAATGTGAGAGAGATTACATTGATTGGTTGCCTCCTGCATGCACCCAAACTGGGCTGGGAATCAACCCTGCAACCAAGGTATGTGTCCTTGACCAGGAATCAAACCTGAGACCCTTTGGTACATGGGCCTATGCTCTATCCATTGAAGACACTGGCCAGATCTTATTTACTTATTTAAATTAAATTTATTGGGGTGACACTGGTTAATAAAATTATACAGGTTTCAAGTGTACAATTCTATGTCACCTCTATATTGCAATGTGTGCCTACCACCTAAAATCAAATCTTCTTCCATCACCATAATTTTTACTCCCTTTATCCTTTTCAATCTCCCAATCCACCTTCCCTCTGGTAACTACCACACTGCTGCCTGTGTCTATGAGTTTTTCTTGTTTGTTCATTTGTTGCTTTCAGAACCACTTTAAATTTTAAATGGCAGATTCATACAAAATAAATCACATGATATCATCTTGCATTCCCTTCATTATTATGTACATTATACAGAACAAAGTGACTGTATAAATTATTTTCAAAGGCATTACATATATATACACACAAACCTTTAGACATAACTTACTGCCTAAAGAAAAACTATAGACAATTTTTCTCTACTTTTTAATGTATTTATTCATATGTTCTTTCATTTAAATCACCAAATATTTATGTTAAGCGCTTTATACGTCAAAGATTAGTTCTGGATAAATCTAACTAGTAAGAGTTCCCTGCTATTTCAGCTAACTCTTCTCTTTATATAATTACATCTTTAGTTTTGGCAAAAATAAAAGGTTTTTTAGGTCACCTCTAAAAAAGGTGAAGAGATTCAGTTTCCCAGATTACAAAATAAATTCCATTCATAGTCTGCACAGTAGCTTAGAGCTTAAGATAATCACAGAAGTACAAATGTCACATATTCTGGTAAAAAAAAAAAATGGGGAGAGTAAAGGACTTGCTTGAGGTCATATGGGAGTTAAGAAAAAAGACATCTGTAGGACCAGGCAATATGCACTAGTAAACAACCATCACTGTTGTTAACTAGAAGCCACATAACTGGAGTGGTACTTTAGAAAATAATTTTGGCAACAGCAACCCAAAACATTCTTTTTTAAAAAACATGTTCTTATTGATTTTTTAGAGAGGGAAGAAGGGGTAAGGATAGAGAGAAAGAAACATCATTCACTCCCCCTATAGGGGTTCAAGCCTGCAACCCAAGCATGTGCCCCAACCAGGAATCAAACCACTGAGTCACACCAGCCAGGCAACCCAAAACATTCTTAACATAGACATGCCTTCTCTGGAGACCACAGACAGCATATATATATATATATATATATATTTTTTTTTTAAAAGCTGAATTTTAACCTAAATTTTAGGTTAGCTTTTGAGAAAAGCCATTATAATTTTGGCTAAAACTTCAAAGAGTGGATCAATTATGAGTCATAACCTAGTCTGGTTGTGAGAACTCCTGCAACCATTTAATTATAATAAAATGAAGCTAAGTCCTAGCTTAGCTACTAATTACAGCAAATCATTAATGTCCTCTGGTCTCCAGTTTCCTATTCCTTTCCAGATTTAACATTGTATGATTCTAAAAAGGTTTTATAATACAGTTTACTCAGTTAGAGATAAAATGTAAGTACTTTTGAATTTACTGTCCTTCCCTAAAGTTTAAAATTAGTTCTTGTAGATGCCATCATAGAATCTTGTAATTAAAAAATATTGTCTCAAAATTACTTTCTGCTTGTCTCAATCTCAGTTGAAAATGAGTTAAAATTTAACTAAAATTCCATTCCATTAGGTACAAGAAATGTTTTTCTTGACTTAACAAGAGGAAGATTTAGATCAGGAAGTCATTAGTACAGCAGTGACATTAAAGGTTTTGGAATTATGAGGCAGGAAAGGATCTTAACAACTGTTTCCTGCCCTGTAGAAGGGGCTACACTTAATCTAAACCAAAAAAGGATGTATAAATTACAGTGTTAAGGAATCTGTAATAAAGAATTGTATATGTTTAGCAATTTGTCATAGCATGGATGCCAGAATCTCAAAAAGGCACCTTTAGCTTATAATTCTGTAATATTTTCCATTCCATGCAAAGTGGGAAAATATCATGGACATATATGTAGGAATGCCAGCAACAGCAGTTTGACACATTCCCCAGTACCACCAAGACACAATCAGTGTGAGAACAAAACAACAGAAAAGTCTAAAAATTGGTAGTTAGCCTAACATGTTAGCAAACTAAAACAAGAATAGCATTAAAAAACAAACAAAAAACAAAAGAAAGAAAAAGATTCCAAATCACTTCAAGAGCACAGCTGTCTTAAATTAAACCAGAGTAAGAAACAGCTAGCTTGGTTCTTAACTCTAGGATAGGTATTCAGAATTTTAAAACAGTATTTTATTCTTTTTTTTTTTTTAATTTCAGAGAGAGGAGGGGAGAGGGAGGGAGGGATAGAAACATCAATGGATCGGCTGCCTCCTGCATGCCCCCTATTAAGGATGGAGCCCACAACCTGGGCATGTGCCCTGACCAGGAATTTAACCATGACCTCCTGGTTCATGGGTCGGTTAGCTCAACTGGCTGGGCTAAAACACTAATTGTAAATTAGTTCTTTCTTATTACACTATGTAAAATATTCTTGTTATTTTCTAGGAAATGTGTAAAGATAATAAATATGTGGACTTAAGAGGAAATATTCTTTGAAAAAAATCTATTGCAAAGGGAAACCTTAAAAATGTTTCCACTGCTGTTTGGGCTCAGAATGAGGACATTTCAAGTTTTATTGAAAGTCACCTGGGAAAACTGCAAAACAAAATTTAACAGTAATTTTCTTTCCCTTTCAATTCAAGTGTATGAATGGGTGAGGGATCCTTTCTCTGAATTTTCTATTCAGCCTGAGAACTTCACTTTGAAAGGTAAGTGTAGTATCCATAGCCGAAACCGGTTTGGCTCAGTGGATAGAGCGTCGGCCTGCGGACTGAAAGGTCCCAGGTTCGATTCCGGTCAAGGGCATGTACCTGGGTTGCAGGCACATCCCCAGTAGGAGATGTGCAGGAGGCAGCTGATCGATGTTTCTCTCTCATCGATGTTTCTAACTCTCTATCTCTCTCCCTTCAATAAAATATATATTAAAAAAAAAAAAGTATCCATAATAATAAAAGCTTAATATGCTAATTAGACTGGACATCCTCCCAAACAACCTTCCGGACGAAGCTGGGGCTGCGAGGGAAGACCGGGTCCCGGGTGCCAGCAGCCGGAGGGAAGCCTGGGGTCCAGGGTGCCAGAGGGAAGCCGGTGCCAGCAGCCAGGGGAAGAAGGCCTATTCTTGCACAAATTTCGTGCATTGGGCCTCTAGTGATAGTATATTTAGGATAAGATTTACTGATCTGCCTTTAGATGAGTTCTAAATTTCTATGAAAGAAAAGTATGCTGCAATGAATAATGCACATTATGCGGCCACTTGTCAACTTTTTCTATATGTGAATATTTTCTTATTTAATATGCAATAAGAACGAAGACAAAAATCATCTTTTTTGAAAATAACAAAAGAAGCACGTTTCACAGTGAAGGAATAAATTCCCTTGTCCCATTTTAGTTATAAAACATTTTAATGTATATATAGGCCAATGAAAGATAACAATTTTATAACTGCTAGACATCCTATATAATAAAAGCCTAATATGCTAAGTGTCTGGTCATTTGATCAACCAATCAAAGCATAATATGCTAATGATATGCTAAGGCTGCTCAACCATTCGCTATGTGCACTGACCACCAGGGGGCAGACAGTCAACCAGTTGACCAGTCGCTATGAAGTGCACTGACCACCAGGGCGTAGACACTCTGACTGGTAGGTTAGCTTGCTGCTGGGGTCCGGCTGATTGGGACTGAGCGAGATGGGCTTGACAAGCCCTGGAGCCCTCCCTCAGTCCCTCCCTGGTTGGCCAACCTCCCGCATCCCTCCCCAGCCCCAATCGTGCACCAGTGGGGTCCGTCGGCCTGGCCTGTGCCCTCTCACAATCCAGGCTGAGGAAGCCTCCCCCCCCCCCCCCCCCCACGGAATTTCGTGCACCGGGCCTCTAGTATAGTATATTGGAGCTTGCTTGATCATGACACACTATAAAAAATATTTTAAGCCTTGTATAAAATTGTCTTAGGTTACATTTATATTCATATTGTTTTGGTTTATGGTTTTAGTTGCCTTACTATTCAATGATATCAGTAAATTTACATAATGTATGTGGTATTAAAATCAATTAAATCTCCTGAACTTACCTTTATAAAAATTAAATACCATCTTGGCATAAGCCAATTATTTAACAGAAATTATTTTTATTTGCATTATGAGTCTTTTAACTTATTTTGAGATAATTATAGAGTCACAGAAAGTGCAAAAATAGTAGGGAGGTTACATGTACCCTTCACTCAGTTTCCCCCAAGGTATCATCTTATGTAACTACTAGAGGCCCAGTGCATGAATTCGTGCATGTGTGGGGTCCCGAGGGACCCCAGGAGGTTAGCCAGCTTGTCAGGGGGCCAGCCAGCTAGGGGGAGGGACCGCAGGAGGTTGGCCGGCCCCCTGATCGGGGCCATCGGGAGGCCGGCCGGCCAGTGCGATGGACTGCAGGAGGTTGGCCACTGGGGGGGGTTGGGGGAGAGAGACGCAGGAGGTTGGCTGGCTGGCCCAGGGGTGAATGGCTGCAGGAGGTTGGCCGGCTGGGGGGAGAAGCCACAGGAGGTTGGCTGTGGGAGCACACTCACCACCAGGGGGCAGCTCCTGCATTGAGCGTCTACCCCCTGATGGTCAGTGTGTGTCATAGTGACTGGTCATTCCGGTTGTTTGGTCATTAACGGTCACCCTAGGCTTTTATATATATAGATCAAAACTAGGACACTAACAGACCCTCAGATTTTACCAGTTTTATATGTATTTATTTGCATGTGCAAATAGTTTTATGCAATTTTATCCCATTTATAGATTTGTGTAATGCTTTATGAGTTTAAAATTTATGAAAATAGATTAATTTTTTAAAATGATAAACCTTGCTTAATTACCTTTTTCTCCCCAAGAAAGGTTGGCTAAAAAGTCATTTTCAATTTTCAAGTAGGAAAGAAAAACTGTTCTTGCACCCATTAAATACCATGTATTATAATTCATTAGCATATCATATAGATGATATTTGTGATAATACCTACAAGGATATAATTTTTAAAAAATCAAGTAGGAAATTTTTTTTAAGAAAAAACTAAAGATTCCTCTATCTATACTACTAACTTGTATTAGAGGTGATATCCTTTCTGGGGAGAGGGAACTTCATACAAGAGTAGGCTAGATGTCTGATCACCTTAACAAATAAACAAAAAAATTATTATTTACTCAAAACAACAATTATTTATTATGTCTACAACTTATTGATCACAATAATGTACTATGAGTTGTAGATACTATCATTTTTACACAGGAGTGCCTTAGTCTATTCAGGCTGCTACAACAAAATACCTCAGACTAGATAACTTATAATCAACAGAAATTTATTTCTCACAGTTCTGGAGGCTGGAAGTCCAAGATCAGGGTACCAGTTCTAGTAGCACACCACCTTTATCTTTTTTTTTTAAATTTATCTTTATTGTTCAAAGTATTACAGATACCCTTCTTTTCCCTTCTCCTCCCAACTCCCACCCCCACAACACCTTTATCTTAATCGAGAAGTATCATGTACTCATTCATTCATCAAATAATTACTGAGTTCCTGATAAGTGCCAGGCTTTGTGGTAGGCATTGGGTATGATGATACTGGGAATAAAGCACAGTTTCTAACTCCAAAGAGTTCATGGTCTAAATCAGCATTGTTTTAGGTCTCTGTGGACTCACAAGTATAAGCTACAGGAACTGCCTCCACCAATTATTTTACTTCATAGTTCTTAAGTGAATGCTCTTCCATCTTTTTAATCTGAAAAATTCCTACTAATCCTTCAACATATACTTCATCTGACCCTGAAGACTTCCTAGAACCCTTCCTACACAATTAACTACTTTCTCCATTCAACCATACCTTTACAACATTTATTATGTACAATGATATTTTTAAAATCTAGTAGACCATTTCTTGTAGTCAGGGACTTCCTCACATGCAGCCCCTTTGCACATGAAGGTATTCTCTCTATCCTACATATACAAAACATTATCTATCCTTCAGAGTTTGCAAAATATCACCTCCATCAAATTATCCCTGATCTTCTAGCTAAAGTAAAATTCATCCTCTTCTGATCTTTCATAACATTCTAAATCAGTGCTTCTCAAGCTTTATTTTTTTAAAAATATATTTTATTGATTTTTTTTACAGAGAGGAAGGGAGAGGGATAGAGAGTTAGAAACATCGATGCGAGAGAAACATTGATCAGCTGCTTCCTGCACGCCCCCTACTGGGGATGTGCCCGCAACCAAGGTACATGCCCTTGACTGGAATCGAACCTGGGACCCTTCAGTCTGCAGGCCGATGCTCTATCTACTGAGCCAAACCAGTTAGGGCTCAAGCTTTAATGTGCACATAAATCACTGAAGGATCTTGTTCAAATGCAAATTATGCATAAGGCAGATTCTGCATTACTAAGCATCCAGGTAAAGCCAATGCTGATGGTCTGTGGACATAAACTAGGCAAAGAATTACTATTTGTCTGATACAAAATAAATTCATAAGATTGCCTTAAAGACTTCTATACAAGACTTTAATTCTCACAATATTCTTGTAAGTGGTGTACTTTTCATTTTATACTAGTATGTGACAAAATAGACACTTATAGCTTATAGAAGCAGCGCAACTTGCCCAATATCACATAGCTTCTATAAGAGTTTGGACTTTAACTGAAGTATTCTGGCTCTAAATTAAGTGATTTTTTTAGTTATACCATCCAAAATGTGCTAAGTTTTATAGTCCCAAGTATTAATATCACATGAGACAAAAGCAGAAGTCATTTATTCCTGTAACAAACAATTATTCTATGTCATTTATATTCTGGATTCTGTGGTAGGTGTTGGGATATAGAAAAAATAGAGAGCCCAGCCGGTGTAGGTCAGTGGTTGAGTGTCTACCTATGAACCAGAAGGTCACAATTTGATTCCCGGTCAGGGCATATGCTTGGGTTGTGGGCTCGATCCCCAGGAGGGGGTGTGCAGGAGGTAGCCGAACAATGATTCTGATCATTGATGTTTCTATCCTTCTCCCCCACTCTGAAATCAATAAAAATATATTTTTAAAAAAGAGAGAGAACCTTTGGCTACAGACTGAAAGGTCCCGGTTCGATTCCAGACAAGGGCACAAGTCAAGGTTGTGGGCTCGATCCCCAGTAGGAGGCAGCTGATCAATGATTCTCTCTCATCACTGATGCTTCTATCTCTCCCTCTCCCTTCTTCTCTGAAATCAATAAAAAAATAAATAAATAAATAAAGTATTTTTTAAAAAGGGAGAGAGAGAAAAGTTTCTGTTTATGAGGGACAGTTAAGAAAGGTTTCACCAAGGAAGGAGCATTTGAGTTTAGTTTAAAAGTTTCAACTTGGGATAAGGAGGAGAAAGGCATTTTAAGCATGAGGACTAGGATATGCATAGATATGGAGATGGAACATCAAGGCAGATTTTTGGACAAAGGATATGTGTGGTCAAATAGTAAGGATAGGTATTATTAAGAAAGAGAGATGTGGACAGAAGAAAGGTATACACTGAAAAACATCTATGAGCCAAAAAGATTCAGTTGGAGAAACAGCAAAAAAACAAGAAGCAAGAATTTACATGATATGCTTAAGAATCAGAGAAAAGACTTTGAGTTGCAGAGTAAAATGTTCCTGCTAGAGAACAATAAAAACTAAGTGTGGGGCGAGTTCATACTGAAATCCAAGCAGCAGCAGCATTATTAACATGTACTGAGCACTTAACTCTGCCAGATATAATCACAAGTGCTTTGCATTTGCAAAATATTTGAGCACGTGGGTATTATTATTCCCATTTTGTATATAAGAAAAATGAGGTTAAGAGAGGCTAAGTAACTTGCCCAATATCACAGAGATAGTAATTGGTAAAGCCAGGATGCAACTCAAGTCTCTTAACACTATACTCCAGATACACTACAGACAGTCCTCGGGTTACGTTGGACTCGACATACGTCGTTTCGTGGTTACGTCGCCATCTCCCATTTATTTATAAAAAAAAAAAAAGTTCCGTCATTTCAACGTATGTACATATGTGCTTTATGTTTTTTATTATTTATTTACCACAAGTAAAGGTCAGGAATTGTTATCTTTCTTTTAAATTTTTTTTACTGTTTCACTTCATTACTGCTGTGTATGTGCCCCATGTGAGTGACGTAGGTGCTAAAGTAGGTGGGTTCCGACTGCGTTACGTACATAGGAACAGATCTCCGACGTAATCCAAGGACCTACTGTATTCAATTTACAAAAATATAAGAGGCATCATGGTTTAGTGGAAAGAAATTTGGGGAGACAGAACCCTCGATTTCAATTCCATATCCTTCATGTGGAGTTACTGAACTTCTCTAAGCTGTTTTATTATAAAATAGAAGAATAATAAAACTCAGCAGAATTCTTATAAAGACCAACCAAGACATTTGCTTAAAATACTCTGTAAATTTAAGTTGTGTAACGTTATACAGATGGTGTTATTCTATGTTTACTAGAGACGCGGTGCACGACATTCGTGCACTGGGGAGGGAGTCCCTCAGCGTGGCCTGCGCCTTCTCACAGTCTGGGACCCCCGAGGGGTCCTTAGCACTGCTGCGGGGGTGAGAGAGGCTCCTGCCACCTCTGCTGCACTCGCCAGCCGTGAGCCCGGCTTCTGGTTAAGCGGCACTCCCCCTGTGGGAGTGCACTGACCTCCAAGGGGCAGCTCATGCATTGAGCATCTGCTCCCTGGTGGTCAGTGCACGTCATAGTGACCAGGTGGTCTGCCATTCGGTCGATTTGCCTACTAGGGTTTTATTATATAGGATATGTCCTTGGATATACAGGGAGTCTATATATCCTTAAATGCTAGATGGAAAAGTTTGAATAAACCTTACAGATTTTACTTATTCCAGGTTTCTTGATTTAGTATATAGTCAATACCTTAGCTCATTATATTATTCTGTCAGACTTCTTAGGTGTATTTAAGAAAGGTAATTCCTAGGGGAAGGGAGGATATGAACAGTATATACATAAAGTAATTTGAACAAACATTAGATTCTGATACTCAACGATAGACTTCCAAAGTCTGGGAAAATTAACATGGATATTCCTCCCTAAGCACTATGCTACAAAATTTAGATGAAACAAACCAAAATATTTTGGGTTGCTATATTTCACCAAATATAGAGGGAGTTGGGGGGCTGGGTGAAAAAGGTGAAGGGATTAAGAAGTAGAAATTGGAAGTTACAAAATAGTCATGGGGATATAAAGTACAGCATAGGAAATATAGTCAATAATGTTGTAATAACTCTGTACGGTGTCAGATGTACTGGAAATATAGGGGAGAACACTTTGTAAAGTATACTGTCTATCTACTATGCTGTACACCTGAAACCAATCCTATCCTATCCTATATAATAAAACCTTGTACTAAGAACCCCTCGGGCCCAGTGCATGAATTTCATGCACCGGGCCTCTAGTGTTGTAATAACTCTGTATGGTGTCAGATGTACTGGAAATATAGGGGAGAACACTTTGTAAAGTATACTGCCTATCTACTATGCTGTACACCTGAAACCAATCCTATCCTATCCTATATAATAAAACCTTGTACTAAGAACCCCTCGGGGGACATCCCCCCAGGGTCCCAGACTGCCAGAGGGCGCAGGCCGGGCTGAGGGACCGCCCCCCCCCCCGTGCAAGAATGTCGTGCACCGGGCCTCTAGTACAAAATAATACCGAATGTAAAAGGTAATTGAAAAAAAAAGAGAGAGAGAAATGGATCAGCTACCTTCTGTATGATCGGTAAAATTTTTATTTTACATTTTAAATTATAACCAACACTACAGTACTACTTTTTTTTTTTTTAAATACCAATCAAAAAGCAAAACAAGGGGGAGGAGGGAAAACCAGCGATACTAACTGATACACTATGAAACCGGATTTGAGGAAATACTACGTTCATCTCCAGACTGAAA